AGCTCTGTAGGTATATTGTACATGGGACGCCAATTCTTTGATGAATGTGTGGCTCAAATGTGGGCTATATGCGCGAATATCATGTCGTAATCTGAAGCAATCGCGCGATTGTGTAAAGACTCTTGTAATATCCGCTTCACCTCGTTTCACCATCTATCGTTCGGGATCTTCGCTTTAATATATTCGAAAAATCAATTTAACAATTCCATTTGCGCAACGATTAAGTTCCTATGTCAAGGTCCCGTGATCGGAAATCGTATCATCCATCTTCCTTTATTGCGTAGGATGCATCGAAAAACTCATTACCGTACACGACCGCACCTGATGTAATATATTGTTGCTTACGTCCCGTCTTATAACGACTCGATAATGTTCATGAGATGCAAATTTTCTATAAAAGGGATCCGCAGAGCGCGTTGCGCAGTGCGGCTAAATATTGTTCCGAAATCGGAGCGTCGAGAGGGAAGAGGAGGCTCTCTTAATTAATTGATAATTAGCTATTAAGTCGAGGATGACTCTGATATTTTTCGTCGGGTAGATTCGATTGTGCTTTGTTCGTTGCGGCACAGCAAGTTTTTCTCTATCTCTCTCTTTCTTTCTTTCTGTCTCTCTCCTTAGTGTTTGAATTCGCCCTTTCACTCTTTCTCTATAGGGGATTTTCAGAGGCAAAATACCCGGCTGCCACACCATCGTTTACCATACATGGCTTCTCTGTTTCGCGATGGTTGCAGCGCACGGTGACTTCATTGTATTACATAGTCGAGTTATATTTATCACATACATACCTCGTGAATTATTCTATGTATACGCACATACACATACATTTAGCATACTGTATATATACATATATCATGAATTTTTGGTCGCGCATACATAACAACACCTACATTCAGCTCGTTTTATAAAACCATGATAGACGGTCAGCTCAATAAAATTTCGAACACGATTATTTTAACCAATTGCATTTGCGACCACACGTCTGTTTGTTTCCATTAAATAACTAATAAAAAGTACTATAATTTGATATACAAGCTAATTGAAGATTTTCCTATTTTTTTTTGGATTAACCTGCATAGAGATTGTCAGATCTGATCATCGATCAAACCGCTGGACTTTTGACTTAGGAAAGACTTTCAAATGAATATTAATGATTCTGGCTCGTTGGAAATTTCTATTATACGTATCGGTGCATGATAGATAAACATAAGTCAATCTATTCTTTTACTGACATGCTTCTATCAATCTCTGATCGTAATATTATCAAAACATATATTTGACAGACAAACTTCCGAATATACGAAAGAAGAATAAGAATGTCAATAATTTCAATAATATGCGCAAAATTCTTTTTATCGTGTTATTATCAAGCATTTCGCTGCCTTTCTATATTTCATATTTTAAAAAATTATCCAATTACATCTTTCTACACTGAAAAAAATGTATTGAATTTGAATAAATATTTATTGCAATACTGCCTATTTGAAACTAATAATATTGATATTTGATGTGAAAAATATTTATTTGTAAATGATTTATTAGACAGCATTAAAATAAATATTTATTAATTTAATAATTTTTTTTCAGTGTATTAATTTTTTTATAAACGACCGTTTATATAATATTCTCTTGTATAGCATGCTGAGGGAAACCTCGGTTTAACACGTATAGAATATCTCGTTCCATTCCACTCTATGCATGCGCTTCCAGTCGGTCATGCTTCTCCATTCGTCAACGAAGACGCCGCGATACGAATGTCACGTCAATGGACCGTATCCCCCGCTGAGCTATCGCGCCGCGTACAAATTGGATTAGCCTTGTAGCCCGGGCGCATGATAGATCGAGCAATTTGTCCGCGCGCGAAACGTCGCGACGCATCGACGCGGAGAAATTCCGGACGGTCGTGACCGGCGTCGTCGTACGCGCAGTGGTCCCCGCGGCGGCCACCAGTGAGCGATCGTTACAAGCCGCAGCTACGTGTACTATTCGCGATGTAACTATACGTTCTCCGGTTGTTGGCAATCAACCATACGCGTCTATCCCTGACCCTCCATTTGCCGGGGCGCGAATGTAAATCCGGCGGCGGTGGAACGTCACGCGCATTGTTGCTGCTTGGCGTGAGCAAGGTAGCGCAAATGAAACGTATGTCACGAGACATCTGTTGAAAATACATTAGCGAACACAACGTAGCAGTTGAAGAATAATTATCGAATTTATATGTAATAATTTGACTTTCATTGTATGCTAATTTTCACATATATTTTGATAATTGTTAGTCGATCCTACCAATGCATTAGCACTAAAATCTAATGTGAAAATTGTGATAAAAAGTTTTCATATTGCTTCTTCTATCGCGCGTGTAATATTAGCGTAAATATAAATTGCAAGATATAATCTTGAGATTAATATTTATATTTTATGAGAAATAATGTGAATGAATGTGTCATTAGAAAATTATCGACGCTATTTGTGATCATATTAGTTTTGAGTGTACGCAAGTTGTGCGGTAAAGCTTACCCTAACGAGTTATTATAAGTCGTACTAACGGGTCACTGTCGTATATTAGCGCCTACAGTAATACCCTTGAAAACATACATCACTGCGTATGGCATTGCACATCTTAGAAGTCAGTACGGGATCGTAACAACCGTGGAAAGGCAGTAATTACATATTTTCAAAGTGCGCGCACTTCGAAGCCTGTTAATGAGTAGTTAATGAACAACTGTCATCTGTAATTATTCGGATCTTCATGCATGTACACGTGGATTTACATCTTCGCGCCGGAGGATTTAAGTTAACGTATAGCAACATTATTACAAATTAAATGATGCAACGGTGTTCTCGTGCGAACATGGCAATTGCTTGCCACAGCGTGAAGCTAGACACTTTTAAGAAATTATTGCAAAAAAAAAATTTAATACAAACTTTGATAGAAACTTGCTTCAGGAATTAAAAATAATTATTTGATTAACACATACGCACAACTCTATTAAAAAGCCTCTATTCTAGAATTTCTTCGTGGAATTATCTCATGTTTAAATTGTAAAAATGTTAATAATTTAATATGCAATTTTTATGATTAAATACAACATGTAACGAGGATTCCAAATATAATTTCGCGTATACGCAATAACCATAAATTTTATTAATAGAGTAACGCATCTCGGGAATCACAGATTGAATTGCAATAATCCTATAAATTAATATAGTATCCACTTATATCCCGACAGTTATGTACAGCATACGTACGCGTCTCTGATAAGGTTCGCGTCGCCTCTAGGCTCTCGCGCGGTTCCTCCAGGATATACTATGTACATTGCGCGACTCACGGTGGTCTACTCCGCCAACGAGTGATTACTGTACGTCTCCCAGGAACACACACGTATACCAGAATGTATGTATTCCCTGGCTCGTTGGCGATCAACCATCCACCCCTATTCAAAGCCCGCGATTCGCGCGTGTAAACACAGGCGAGGCGCGACGCTCCGCATTGCACGTCGTGACGATACCGCGTTCTCTCTGGGAGGCTCATCGAGTCATGTTATACTGTGTAATCGTACACCTTCGCCCTACACAAGCAGCACATATATACATACATGCTTATACAATGCGTTGCATGTGTTGTCAAAAAATCAGCTATCAAAATGACAGCTTCTTTGTGCAACAACGTTAGGAGTTCTATTTTATTAGAAAATAATATCTTCATATTTTATATCATAAATATTTTTTAATCTAAAAAAATCGCGTTTTTTGGTTAAAATTATTACTAATCTAATATTTTTTAGTATATTTATTTATAGTAAATTTCTAAGTTTAATTATTTGTTCCAATATATTACGATTATAGATATAGACGAAAATTTATGAAAATGTACTTATAATTCGAATATAAGCTTTATCGATTTTTGAATATGTGATATGAGAATATTGTGATGTATCGTATGCATAATGAGAAAAGTACGCGAAGAGGTTTCAGTAGCTAACAACTACGTGGCTTCCGTACCCCGTAAAGTCAATGGCATACGGGAGTTCTGTAATTTTACACCTTCTCCTCCATCTCCGCATTCTGTCGTGCTTCATCGTGGCAGAGAAGCGCTGATGCACATGCCATATCATTCGAAAACGACTATCTGTGCACGCGAATGTCTAGAAGGTAACTGAATCCACAGGCTGAGTTCATGAATGAAAAATATAGAGGAGTTATTTGTGTGATCTGGTTGGTCGCGGTATCATCCTTTTCAACGTTCGTTCTTCATGTGTGATTTATACAGGTAAACGAATCCGCATGATATCCGATCCGCTCTATATATATTTGCGTAAATGATAATAATGATACAAGTGATGAAAGCGATGAAACATTGAGTATACATATTTTTAGTCTACAGATGTATCCTCTTGGATTTGTGGTGTCTAGAATTTTAAAGCTTTTTTTCAGTAATCTAATAGAATGATTTTTATGGCAAAGAAGCCATTAAAAAATTTTATGTTAGCTATCAAACTATTAAACTTGGTTTGATATCGATGTTATAATAGTGTCATTACAAGAACAGCGATATCTTCTCACGCTGCAGTAATTAGACGAACAATCCGAGAGGAATGCATCTATCTATGAGAGCACATCACGCGGAGGGTGAAATTAATAGCCGGTTTGATCGAGTTAAAAGAGACAGCCGTGGTAAGAACGTACTTCTACGCTGTAGCTCGTGCGAGAAAGGTCATTCCACTGCCGTTGCGATGCTGACTGTCGAGGTGAAGGTATAGGGGAATCGACCAACTGAGTGCGCTCTACGGGTGCTTCTAACCCAGATGATATCGCGCTTAGATATATAACACAGAATTTTATGGTGTATTACAGAACGGCATATGGTATATAATGGTTTTATGCGTACGTACTAAACATAACTTATGACGATACAAAGTCGCTTTACGATCTCGTTGAGTCTTATTTTACGTGGATCGTGGATGCCCTCGAAGGGTGCAACAAAGAAGATTCATCAAACCAAGAACACAGAAAATTCGAAATTTATATTTTCTGTTACATCAAATCGATTCTTACAACTTACATTGTTAGTCGAATCTATTTATAAATCTTGTAGACCGAATATTTGTTTATAAAGTACGCGAAATAATTCTAGACTCTTCTGTTACATTTTTCAAGTACTTTGAAGTATCAAAGATTTCAATGCACATTATAGCTTTTTAATTGTAGTCGCTAAGATATGCTTTTAATTAGATTAAAAAAATTAAGATTCCAAGAACACATAAAAGATGCATTACACATAATTATAGTAATATCATATAAACATACGTATGATCTCTTCCTTCCTGACAATTTTTTAAATTAATTAATAAAAATTAAATAATTTTAAAAATGTAAGAGAAATTGATTATTTATTATAAGAAAATTCTGTTAGAGATTGATTCATTAATTAATGACAAAAATTTGAAAGTCATATACCAAAAACATTATTTCATTTTTCATCAACGTGTAATTTAGATATTCAAACGATTAGATTAATTACTAATAAACGCAGATACCGGTAACATTTCATTCGAGTCGATTCCACCAATGTGCATCTCATTTCTGAGTCGGTCAAGGCGAGGTTGATCGATGCCGGTCCGCGTCTTATGAATGAGAGGCAACAGAGGCGGTGTCGGATTGCGGATAGCCGTTGCTTGCATCGAGGAGTGTTCCTGTTCCGGCGACGTGTATTTACTGCCCACGCTCGGTCGCTTAATTATAAAATAATTGTTATTTATCTTCAACATTAGCCGGATATCGGATGGCTTATCCGCCATCTGAACGGCTCGCATTCGCCGGACAGGCTGTTGCTGTTAGGTGCGAAGAGGCCGTGGACTCTGTCGCAGGGATGCGAGGAAGAGGCCAATCTTCCTGGCCGATGCCACGCTCGAGCGCGTCCCAGAAAGAGGACGTGTCGATTTATCTAGGCACTCGATCGAGACGAATTAACGGCTCGGGAGCCGGTAACTTAAGCCGGTGCGTTTGTCGTCGAGACCCCCTCGAATTCTGGCAGCCAAAACGGATGAGCAAGGACCATCGTTACACGCCAGAGCTCCGCCAATTGCGGTTTTCTTCGGGCTGAAAATACAAGCGAGATCGCGATTATTCGGAGACGGCATGAGAATCGACTTTACGATCGAACGCTGTAGCCTCGAGACAAGATTTCATGTTGAAAGTTTATGTATGTGTAGGAGCGTGAAAATAAATTCACTGAATGTTGTTAGACGATTCGAAATTAAAGTTATTAAATTTCAAAGATATTTCTGTTATATAAAGAGGATCTGGAAAAAGAAAAATATATCTCCAGTTAACTACATGAAACAATTTTTTTAATTTATATAAAAATAATGGGATATATATTAATATGTCCAGAAAATATATTTTGTATCACACATGCTTGGATAAATCAATACAAAAATGTCTGCGAGACAAGATTTCATGTTGAAAGTTTATGTATGTGTAGGAGCGTGAAAATAAATTCACTGAATGTTGTTAGACGATTCAAAATTAAAGTTATTAAATTTCAAAGATATTTCTGTCATATAAAGAGGATCTGGAAAAAGAAAAATATATCTCCTGTTAACTACATGAAACAATTTTTTTAATTTATATAAAAATAATGGGATATATATTAATATGTCCAGAAAATATATTTTGTATCACACATGCTTGGATAAATCAATACAAAAATGTCTGCGAGACAAGATTTCATGTTGAAAGTTTATGTATGTGTAGGAGCGTGAAAATAAATTCACTGAATGTTGTTAGACGATTCAAAATTAAAGTTATTAAATTTCAAAGATATTTCTGTCATATAAAGAGGATCTGGAAAAAGAAAAATATATCTCCAGTTAACTACATGAAACAATTTTTTAAATTTATATAAAAATAATGGGATATATATTAATATAACCAGAAAATATATTTTGTATCACACATGCTTGGATAAATCAATACAAAAATGTCTGCGAGACAAGATTTCATGTTGAAAGTTTATGTATGTGTAGGAGCGTGAAAATAAATTTACTGAATGTTGTTAGACGATTCGAAATTAAAGTTATTAAATTTCAAAGATATTTCTGTTATATAAAGAGGATCTGGAAAAAGAAAAATATATCTCCAGTTAACTACATGAAACAATTTTTTTAATTTATATAAAAATAATGGAATATATATTAATATGACCAGAAAATATATTTTGTATCACACATGCTTGGATAAATCAATACAAAAATGTCTGCAGTTCCACTTACGTGGAGAATTTCATCGTGTTCCCAAATTTGAAGTGGCACACCGAAGAATACATTAAAAATTGGACACTCGGAGGAATATCGAAGTTGTTCAGTACTCGTGAAACTGGCAGCGTATTATTCTCTACATATAGATTCTCCGATATATACGTTTCTTCAAGGTCTGGGAGTCGGTCGCAAATCACGCCGCCACGATCGCAAGTAAACTGAATTACGAGCGTCTCGGTTTCCAGCCTCTCTTTGTCATCAGTGCAGAAATGGCACAGCCGACGAAGGGGATCGACGGCAGATCTAAACGACGATCAGGCACGCGCGTTCTACCGCGCGGACGTTTCGATATGTCTGGACGAGATCGGAGCAGCCCGTCGTGCATGGAAGAAACGACGGCGCGAGTATCAGAGGAGCGAGAAGGTGCAGAAGACGAAGAAAAGAAGAATAAGAAGGAGAGGCAAGGGGTCGGGAGTGACAACGGAAGGGATCGTGCAAGAAGAAGAAAGTATCGAGCGATGGAAGTCGTCCAAACGAGATCTCGAAGTATCAGCCAGGCTAATTAATCCCGGAGCCGTCTGGCGCAAATGACAGGAGTGATCTCGATCATTGGGTAATATATTACTGCTCGTTTCAGCAACTGCTAGTCTAGGACGGAATCGTTATACTTGTAACACGGGCTTGGAGAAAAAGTGGTAGAGCGATACGAGAATGAGGGCGGATGGGCGGAGGGTGGAAGGTCTCATTATGACGTGGGAACCTTAAGGCCGAACACAACGGGTAAGCAATGGTAATTTATGACCGTCTATGACCCTGGGCGCGATCGATCACGTATTGCCGCGGTTACTTTGTGTCGAAAATAAAAAAAATCAACTCGAAGAACGAAGTAGAAAGAGAGAAGTCGACTGATGAAACTAGGGGAAAATGTGTTAAAGAGAATTCTTTTAAAGAAAAAAAAAATCAGACTGATCGGTATCGGATGTTGCGAATCGTCGAATTCCAGCATCGAAAATAATGGGAAATTATTTCTCGGAATGATCCAGCTATTACGTGCAACAAGGTAATATTGCAAGTTTGTATTCTGGATATCGCATTACGGTCTAGCTCTATACGTTAGCGGTGTTAGTTCGATCGATTCTGAGCACTAAATTATCGCATGAAATGCGCTTTCAAGCGATAGCACGCGCGTTACGTATCGCACCACCGTCGATATTTATCGCCTCATCGTGATCTCGGGCAAGAAATTGCTCAGAGATCGGTTCTCGTAATGCGGAAACTTTCCAGGTGGGGCTCTTCTCTTTAAACGAGTGCGTCGAGGATATACAATACATTAGGTCGATATCGCGTTTTACTACGCGGACCCGCGACCGTAAATAATCCGGCCGTCCGAATTTTTCGCCCTGCGACGCCGCGGGTGAATCCGAAATTCGGCGGCACGCGAAGACCTCGTAAATAAGAGCGGTTCTCGGGCGGCGAAAAGAGGAACAGGTTTACGAGGCAGAATCCACTACCGTGGCGGCCTTCTCTCTCTCTTTCTCTCTTTCTCTTCCTCCTCTCTTTTTCATCCTTGTCACATCTTACCTTCTCCGCCGTCGTCCTTGCCCGTTCTGTCGTTCTTTCCTCACTCGATCTCCTATCGATCTCCGCTACCTTTCGGCGGCAAAAACGCGGGCACATGGAGACGCATTACTGGCCGCGTCGTTATAATTCGTCACTGTCGCGTAATGATCCGTGAATGTGCGCGCCCACTCTTATATGCTTTCTTTCTGCTCTTCCTGCCATTACCATTGAAGGGCTCCATGGAGGTTGTCGATGGCCTTAACCATCACGCGGTCCTCTTTCTCTCTCGTCTCTTCACCGCGCCGTGGCGTGAAAGGATCGCCAGTTCGCGATCAATAGTTCATTACGAGAAACAAAAATGCGCAGTCCGACAATGGCGCGATCCGTGGCCGCATCGAACAATCGACCTAACTATATATGTATATATATGTATGTCCTCTCTCGCTCTCTCTATCCCGCGGCGAATAACGCGGGATGTGTTGCTCGAGTGCGACGGAAAAATGTACGAGATCACGAGGAAGAGACGAGGAATAAGCTGGGAGAGGGAGAGAGAAAGAGAAAGAAAAGAAAATAAAAGAAGAAAGGATGCGGAGAACAAGGAGAAAGAGAAGATCGAGATGAAGCGTTGGGTGGCTCGGCCAATTCGAGGATTGAGTATATATGATGAGAGAAAGACCAAAGCTCGATATAATAGTGAGGCAACGAGTTATGGGAGCGTATCTTCCGCGCGGAGGAGAAAAGGCCCGGGAGATGGTTACGCAAGCGATGAGATCTATTCACTCCATATATTAGGATCCATTATGGCAGGACCGTGCTGGCATGTGAACTATTCCATTTCGATTGGATGTTATGAGTGGATTTCGTGACATCACCCACATATAGTCCCATAAATCTCTGTGATATTTTTTGCATTTTTATTTGTGTAACAAACGGTTAATTTATATTACTGAATTATATATTGAAGAGAGATACAATTATAAATAATAATTTTAATATTTATAGTTATAATTATGAATACATATTTGCCTTTAAACTTGTATTCTCTCTTATGTGAATTATAAAATTATTGATTAATGATAAAAAAGGAGAGGATCTGTGTTAATATTTTTTAATTGATAATTAAATGCCATGTTTAAGGGTACGGTTATAAGGATACGTTTTCTTGTAGTAAAACTATGTTACTTCGAGTGTTACTTGAGCTATAGACTAGCTATTACAACGTACGATTGAAATTAAACCATCGGAATCCGAGAAGGTCCGTGTTAGATTATCCGGGTCCATATTTTATCTTATCTCTTAGAGGTTCAACTTATCTTCCCGATGGACATTATTTCCGTAGCTATACAGAACGGCTGCTTGTTCTGCACGGTGGTCGACTCTTTTGAAAACGACATCTGATCATCAGTATTAAACAGAGACTATATCCCCTGATATCGTTTATTTAAATCTTTAGGATTGGCGTCGAAAATAAATGAACAAGCAACTTAAAGACTCTTTCTTGATTTATCTATTTTCTATCGGTATTAGGATACTGTTTTTTAATTTTCTCAATTTTTATGTTGGAAAAATATTTTGTTCATATTTTATCCTTTTACAATTTTATTGTAATTGGTCTCGTAATATATATACATATATATATAATTTAACTACATATTCTTATAAATTTTTGATACAATTTTATTTTAATATTTCATATAAAACTATATTTTATTATTGCATTTAAGAATAATTATTATCGAAATAATTATAAATAATTAAATCAATGGAATAAACCATAAGTGTGTGAAGCAAACATTTTTAAACGCATAATTTAGAAATTTTTACCATTTGGAAAGAAATTTTGAATATTTTTTTAATTAATCGACAGGATGAATTGTGCGATGAGTTATTTTATTTTAAAAGTTTGCAATTAAATTGTGACATTTAATATCACCTTTTCTGAGACGAAGTTTTATTACACACTTACAAACATTTTTTTTACATTTTAATTAAAAAAAAATTTTTTTCTATAAAAGCTTTTGTGATTTTGACTCGCGAATTGCATTTTAAACGCGTGCCTAGAAACGCTCATTTCGAGATGTCAGTCGCGCTGTAAACGACTCGAGCGAAGCGAACCGGCGGGTCCTCGGCGGTGTCGTTACACTGCATAAAAGATTCTCGCTTTGCATCCATCGTCCCCGACGTATGTACATCGGTTCTCGATCGAGGAATTCCACGGATTCCCTTGTTAGACTGCAGGTGCACGCTCTACTCTTATCCCCAGGTTCCTCGCGGTCCATT